TCTTTGTGGGGCGAATGCAAAGCGCTTGCCGCGAATCGTCGAGTTCCTTGCCCGCCTATGCCCGGATGCCTTTGCCGCCGTTCGGGGAAGTGATCGCTTCTAAGCGGCTTGCCGTCGCTCATTGGTCCGACTTACCTTCGCTACAACAGGCGAAACCAACATCGGACGAGACCAACCGCGCGCCGCGTGTAATAAAACCCGACTTCCTGGCCCGGAACCCAGGTTTCTTTTCTTAGAAATAGACGGAACGTCTGCGGGTTCGACCTGCGAACCCGTGACCGTCTAGGGCGTCTAGTAGGGCACAAGAGACGTCTTGGGTACTGTGATGAATGTCCCATGCATGACTAGAGGGCAGAAGGATTCTCATGCGGCTATTGTATGTATGTATGGGAGACTATTGCTCCTTGCATCTCACCCATCCAGCCATCTCACCACCATCTTACCCGATAAGGTTCACTGCTACCCCTCATCACGCTAATACTAGAAAGCGGAGGTGGAAATGTAGAATGTTGCGTCAGGCTGACGGCGAGGACACCCACGACAACTCAGGAGGGCGACGGGCCCATTGAGGCCGAAGTCAACAAAGCCTTTTTTTGTCAGCGGTTGCCGGAGGTGCGCATTCTCGTTTTCATTGCTTGCGCCTGTCCTCTGCCCCCTCGTCCCCTCTCGTCCCCTTGGAGAAGTGTACTTAACCTGCTGCTGGCGCATTTCTAGGTAAGCAGTGCTAAGCAGTATGACTTGGACGAGCACGGGCCGTACAATGGCGAGACAATACCGTTGGGGGCCATTGGCCTTCCGTTCGTAGGAAAGGTGAAGAGGAGCTATTCCTATGGGTCATGATAAGACGGGCGACTCATCGTATCGCATCGCCACCAAGTTTCGGGCCGTTGATCAATCACAACCAACTATAGAGAACAATGGCATTGTAGTATACGTAGTGCAGATCTGATCCTGCGAGACTCATTAAAACACCACGTACACTGTCTAGAACTTTGAGGCCAGTCCTGAGCATTACTTCAAGGGTACCATGCCGTAAATACCTAAGTCAGAAAAGTGACACAGTCAAAGCGGGAAAAGGTCCGTTGCTACCCTTGCTAGCCTTTTAACGTAACCTGCACCATCACGTCCAACAGCCGGCCGGCATGTAAGCGCATGCAATGAGGCAACCGACTAGATAGTTATTGTTCAAATAGACCCGACGAGTTGGTTTGGTTTCGGAATGTTAGTACAAGGTCGTGCAAGGGGTCTGCGGAGATAGGACGACTAGTGATCGCCCAGGCTGCCAGGTTGATAGATATCCAGAGTTACACACGCTGTGGAAATTCGGGAGTATCTTGGGTCCTTTTCAGCAGTGTTGGTCGTCTGTCAGATTTTACCGAGTCGCTAACTCGGTGTATATACCTGTTTTATTGTTAGTAAAGGTCAGTGCTCGTTTGGCGTTACAGGTCACGCACGAGCTTCTGACCACGCAGCCACGTTATTCAAGGTAGTAATAAATGAGGTAGTACCAAGGTGACGATGTTGGTTCTGCAATGTGATAGATCATAACGTGTTAGTTGATATAGGTCAAATATAAGTACTAGCTACCAGTCATATCCATAGCCAAAGCATGCGAATGTGAATTAGGAATGAGCATTGATGACAGTACTATGTAGGACAACGGACATAGTCGAGTCTTCGACATGCAATATAGGAGGTAACCATCGAGGATCACGCGAGGATCACGCCTTGGAGGGAGTTGTATTGGGATAGAAAGGACGGTCTTGGTTGTAGTACCTACATTTACGTGCATGAGGCCCTTGAAGGCCCCCTGGCCAATTGGTGCTTGTAACTAAAGCACCCTATCGCGCATGCGGAAATCACATGATTCCGCGCCAAAATCCCAAACAGAGCTCTAGTGTCTAGTTAGTCCAGGGCCATTTCAGGGGTCGGCCTAAACAATAAACAATGCAAACTCATGAGCCTCATCATAACAACATGGTAAATTTAAAAGGTCTAGAAATACCAGGTCTCCTGTCCTATCTTCCCATCCATCTTTACTCAATGTAACGAGTTGCAGGTAAGTTATCCTAAAAATCCCACCCTGGTGATAGGTAGTTGTAATTCTGTCCAATGATAGGTCTCCCATCTCGAATAGCCGCCCAGCGATAATCATCTAAGCGCCCCGGCATCTGGCATCAGGCATCAGGCATTCTCGCTTGGTGTGTGTGGCTCGCCACTCGAGCACCGTTCATCTTTCTAGAAGATTTCCATTACCTCGCTCATGCCCATGCTCATGCGCGTAATTGCGCACCCCGACGTCACCACCGACTGGCTTGCATACCTCAATCTGCGAGTCGGGCGTTTAACGCTATTTTTGTGCCGGGGCCTAGATCGCATGCAGGAAATATCTATCCGCCCTACAGGCGACTGCGACCATCATGATCTGATCCTTCCTGCAAGGTACCAACCCCGGCACCACCACGCTGCCGCCGGCTGGTTGGATCAGTCTAGTCTGGGGAAAGCCTAGATAAGCGGGCGTTTCGCCCCTATGCATGCGAGCCGTGTCCGCCGCAGGTACATGATGCTAATAGGGGAAGCGCCTGGCTGGCATCATCTGTTGCGCTCCCCTAGCTTCCAGAAGCGCCTGGGAGTCTGCAAAGTGACCTCGATCCGCCAATCATCCTCCGCCCAGGTTGTCGATAGTAACGAGGACCTGGGTTACTGTTGACGACCTGGGTAGTTGGAGGGTTCACATTACTAACACCAAGTACCATGCTGCCCGGAGTGGTGTATATAAGGCCACCAACTGCTAGGGGTGCATGCAAGCCGTATGCCTTGGTATCACCCGCCCCTATCAGCGTACCGGGAGGTACGGGGCGGCGTTAGGCCTCAGGTCTCCAACGGCCTTCCGATCATTCCTGACTGACTCCCTTGCGGCCCAGCCCTACTATCATTATCACCTCGGAGATTTTGGTACCACGAGGACCTGCTAGGGTAGTTATTTTTAGGAGATTGCTAAATTAAGATATAGCCTCAATCTGCAGCCGCTCGCGAACTGCAAGTGTTAATTTGAACGTCACCTCCTGAAATGTAATTCTAGTCTTCCTTCTAATAAAGGACGTGTAGCTCCCTTTTAGGCGCGCTCGATCAGAGCTTATATGATTAGAATCGAGTACCGCTGTATTGACGCCGTCGTTTCACCACCCCCTATTCGTTCCCCAGCCAATAGATGTACCTCGCCTCTCTCGGTATTTCTCTATTGGTGGCCCTTCCCGGCTTTACTCATTTCTGGTGTGTCAGAAACATCACGAAGTTGATTGTCCATTCCTATTCCCTCCGAACACTATTCTTGGCGCCCCTATACTATCATGCTAGACGAGTAAAGCCATTCTAGTACCAAAGATATTTCAAGTGGAATATGTCAGTACTGCTAAGTGGATGGATATACAGAGAAGTCCATTCTATGGTAAGAGTGACTCGTCTGCGGGAAATAGGCGTAATCGGGTTCGGGAATTTATTACTGCTTCACCAGGTAATCGAAACTAAATGAACAACTACCCTGCTATGGCGGTAAAATGTCTAGCGGCGAGATTGTCTATTCCGGCCAGTATGGTTACCTGTTAAGCCTTGGCGTGTCATCGACTATATACAATTTCAGGCGAATTCTTCGTTAGCAATGTCTGCATCCAAGGATCACCCAGAATTGGCCAATGTTGAGGGACAGCCTCTGCACGACCTTCTAGTTCACTCCTGGCATGTTGTTGAGCGGGAAAGAGAGGCATTTTCTACTGGCCTGAAAGGCAACGAGACTCTAATTTTCGGCAACTGTGATGTCGCCAAATGTCGTTTTGCAATAAAAACACTTGAAACCAGGAAGGATTAAAAGAAACTATAAATGAACCAAGGACTTCTAGCATTTAACTAATGGATAATTTCTTGTGGGGAGTTAAGACCTCAGCTTGCCTCTAGTCGTGATTAGTAACTATATGCTGATCGCATGGAGTAGTAGCTAAGTGACTTCAGGTTGCTTGGGGTCATTCCTAAACTATTTATTATATTTCATCTCAAACTCAAGACTATGTGAATTAAATCATTTCAGCAAGCGGCGTGCTTGGATAACTGTACTGTCAATATCTTTGTTAAATAAAAGTAAGGTTCCTCGATGTCGCCTGATTAGTTAGTGGCACTCAAAACATTACAATATTCGCAGCCTTTTGAGTAGTATCACATACATCTTTATCGAGCTTCTATATGAGACTTAGTTAGATTCCAAATGAAAGCATATCTGTGTCGTCTTAAGTTGGTGGTCTACGACGGTCGAACGGCATCTTTACTGATCTTTACATGAAATAAAGTAGCCAAATACATTTGAAAAGAACAAGCACTATTCATTTCTTTTCATACTATGAAAGTTAGGTTCAAAGGACTTACACATAGGCGAAAGTACCAGTGACAGTGCCTGGACTCTAGAGGGCTACCTAGGTAACTACAATGTGCCAAGTCTTAGATTCTATCACCCAGTTAATAGCACGAATGGCAGGGAAATTGTAACTGATACCTCCACATATGGGGGACTTTTGGGCTTAGACCTTTGTAGGCAGTTTGGGTTTTCACGATTTCAATCGTAATCAATTTCATTCACAACACTCTGACCATAATAGTCCGTGGATCTTCCCTCTTTAGTCTCTGGCCTTATCCACACAGTCAAATTTGATCTAAGTATACCTAGGCAAAAACAAAACGTACAACACCGGGGATTCGCTGGTCGTCACCGACCCAACTACTAATCCGGCAGTATCCAGCTTGTCTATGGGAGAGCGGACGGGATCCCGAATTCTCTAGATCTTATGGTCGTACGTGATAATTCCGGTGCGTATCCGGCAAAATATAGCAGCCACCTACCTGAGAAGGAAAAAATAAACAGAGACAGGTGTATCCACCAAACCTCTCGAGCTACGGCCCACTCGGCTCTGCCATTTGGTAGCAAATTAGGGCAAAAAATTTCAACAACACCCACAGGGCTCATGGCCTAATGGTAAGGCGTCAGATTTCGGTTCATCAACCAGTCCTCTGAAAATTGCAGGTTCGATCCCTGCTGAGCTCGGTTCTCAACCTAATGAATTTCGTTTTTTTTTTTTTTTTTTTTTTTTTTTTTTTTTTTTTTTTTTTTTTTTTTTTTTTTTTTTTTTTTTTTGCAATTGTGAATATTCATCATTTCTAATCATCACATTTGCGTTCATGAGACATACTATATTGCAGTGATGCTAGGCTTGCAAAGGAGTAAAGATACAGTGCAATCCATTTTTACACATTCAATAGTGGGGTATATCATTGAAATATATCTTTATATATAAAATATGACAGAGAAAAATGGATTCTACACATTAGGTGCGACCTGTAGAATTTCTTTTCTTACAATTCTCGTCTATTTTGATACCCTTACCGAGATGAAAGCCTCCCCCCTTTACAAAGAATCCTTTTATCTACCAGGGAACAGCTTCTACGTAGCTCATATGTCGAACCCTCACAACCCCAAGCATCCTAAGAATAGCAGTGACTTTCCTTTAAAACTCCGTACGAGGCCGAAACCAAATTCGTTGATGCCCTATCACATTGAAACTTGCGAGCCAACATATGACTACCTAAGATCATAAAAAACAGCACCAAATTGTTTCTTGGACCAAAATCCCATCTCTCTCTTCACTAGTATCACCATATAGCTTATACCATCGCCGTCTTACGCATTATGCCAGATATTTCCCTTTCATCGAGAAAGCTATTGCGTTTGGAGGATTCACGTGCTTCCCACGGCCGTATTCAAGTCTACCATCAATAGTTCGGAGGAAGCTAAGCTGGCTCCTTCTGTACTTGCTTATTATGAGACTCTTGCGGCTAGATAACGTGGTACAGCCGTATCAACATGACCTTTGTCCATTCAGACATAATCGGTCAATACCCGATCTCAACTGCCCTCGCCAGCTACCTTACCACAACCGACCTCCCCCACCTGGGCATGACCTGCCACGATCATCATGCATACGCACGCTAGGTACAAGTGGAGGAACTATAGAGGCATTATCCGCAAAGACGAGGAGACCGAGGTAAAACTCTTCGCGGCGAGATGCGACGGGGCTGGCGCGCTGCCCTGCCGCCGGTGCGGCGTCAACGTCTGCGAGGAGCGTAGGGAGTATCCGCGACCGCCGGCCCTATTTCAACTGGGAGAGGCTGAGCGAGAATGTCTTCTGTCTCTGCGCCCCTTGCGATTCCAAACTTGAAGAGCGGCTTCGCGGACAGCTCCTGGATGACCTGTGGGACTGTGCTACAGCTGTGCGAAAGAGGTAGACAGGAGGGCTGGGGATTACTATAATAATAACACTATCCGGGAGGTAATTAGATGATGTTATGCCCGGCCACATGGTCGGTGGCGATACCAAGTTCATGCAAGACGGGGAGACTCACGTTCTCTTCCATTGCACCTGCGACGCGTTGATACCGATGGAAGCAAGACCGCGCTGCTCGTGGTGCAAGAGGCGACACCCGCCGGAGTTGGAATGGGGCGATGAGCTGCTAGAGGTTCGGTACATGCCCATTGATAGCATGCATGATGACACGTATCCATTCTATGACATTCACGCGATACACGCTGCGTCGGACCCGAGCTTGGAGTATTATGGACCGATTTATCAGGCTCCACTAATAGATGACAATAAGTGATGGGCTACCGAATATCTTTGTATTATTTTCGATCTTATTCTTGAGACCAACATGTCATGCTGGTTGCTGTCAGTCTGTTGGGGTTGCACATGTGTTCTAGATATCATTTCAATCGTTCGCTCTCGAAAACAAGTCATGACTAACTAGCACTGAAGAAGCTCAAACGCTGCAATTTCGTTAGTTACTAAATAGGTGATGCAAGAGTCAATGTCCCTATTCACGCATACTTATTCGAAAGTACCATTACCACTCTAGTTACTACCATCCGATTTATTACAAATCGTCAGCCCTTTCCCTTGGACCACAAGAAGACCGTCAGCTGTAAAGCTGTAAAAAGGTCCATACCAACAAGGGCACGGTATATAGTTAATCAAGTAAAAAAAATTTATGTTCCCTAGTGTGATGGTAAGTTATATATTTTCTTCGTATACATGTCCGCTATTATTATTTGAGATAACGGCCTTTCGCTTATATTAACTTTCTATATTGGATTTGATAACGGCTGATGGCAGACGTTATGATACCTATCTACGGACAAAATATTGATGCCATTTAGCTCACTTGTTGACAAGATTTGACTACTGGTGACTGTGCCAAGGAGTACCACTATGTTTGAATCAAAGAGGATAGCCAAGTTAATTCATATTGATAGAGCAAGGCCTTTTTACGTTATCAATTTATGTAGGTATAGGCTACGCGATCATGGTAGTTTGCATTGCTACCCTATTGTACAGTTTGGAATCTTAGAGGTTATTGTTTGGAACCTTAGAGGTTATTATTTGGCCCCCCTATCAATCATCTTTTGATGGCAAAAATGTTGCATCAGCCGCGAATCGAACGCGGGGCCCATCGATGGCAACGATGGATTTTACCACTAAACCACTGATGCCTTGGAGATCATTGGGATGGGTTAGATAGTTTCGGATGTTTCTATTGGTAATATATTGATTGCTGTTAGCCTTGTGGGTATGGATAAGTTGACCTCTTCTAATTACAATTTGCGACGTCTACTTACAGATAGCACATCTAATCGTCACTTGGAAGCTAATTACTTCCAGTAGTTAGGATTAATATACTACCAGCATTCTATACAGCGCGGCTACTTAGAGTGAGATTATATTGCTTTACTCTGAAATGTGTGGTTTGGCCGTAGTTATTGATCTACGTATCTAGAGAGCTCCATTATGCAAAGGAGGTCTACAAGCGACGTGGTAGCGTAGTGTCGTATTCTGTTAAAGAATATCCCCGGGGAGCGAGCTAGCAAGGCTGTAAAGACAATAGCCCGGCGGTCTAATCTGCAGCCCAGCACGGGAGAGATGAGGTCGTATGAATTAATTTGGTGTGGTTGTATCTAAACCTAGCTCAGGAGATACTGGACTAAATTCGCTCCGACGATCACATTCATGAGGATGCCAGAAACCGAACAGTCCGATCCGGCCGGTACTTTCGGTATCGGTACCAAAGGGGACAAGATCATTGGTCTACCTTTGCCGTGTAGTCATTTTCGAAAGCAGCTTATTCTTCGGACTAGAAGACACCTACCTTGATGTCTGATGTGTTTCGACACCCCGTCTCGGACAGCAATACGCCCCATCTTGCCACGATGTGATTTGGCTTCAAAGATAATTCCTGCCCAAGCACGAGTGAATTGACATCGAACACTCCTCTTTCTGAAGGGAACACGTATGACAAATACCTAACTGGACATTCGCCACTCGCCGCTTGGCCATAGCGAATCGCATTCTACACCGGTACTCTATTCGCGACGATAGGACCATGCAGATACTTCGGTAGTAGTTATACTGTATATTGTAGGATTACGGTACGTAAGCGTATCTGGGACTGACTTCGAGGACGGAGATTATTTATTAATCGACGCGGCGATGACCTCAAGGCCTATTGCTATTATGCCATGTCATTGAGTCTATATTTAGAGCATGAATTTCGTCTCAAATGCCATCCCAAGTTCGGCGTTAACCACCCGAGCATAATTTACGCCTTTTCACGTCATGTTACCTCTTGTCCCGGTTGAAGGTGGCCGGGCCAATGACATTATTACCGGAGATGCCGGGGCGGCGGCAAATTCGGATTGAGGAACGGAGGGGTGGCAGAAGAAAACAGCCAAACTCGGAATCAATACTGCCGGCCAAGATTTCAACTACCGCGATTCCCGGGGGTGTCACGGCTGGGTTTCTTCAGCTCGACCTATACCAGGACCCCCTTTTACCCTATCGTGCGGGATGCGTGGGAGCTGCGTGGTAGCTACAAGGGGAAGAGGGTCGAGGTCGAGTAACGCACGTTCGGCCATAGGGTTATATATGCCAGATACATGATGGCGATGACGGGGGAGATCTTGATCTAAAAGGAGTTGCTGACATGGATGCGGGTAAGATTGCCACGTTTTCCCGCGTAATAATTCCTGTAGATGGTGCCGAGCTTATTTTCTAATTGCTTCCACGATCCCGGGCATCGAAGACGTCCCATTACTCGAGTTGTTTTTTTTCTTCTTTTTTTGCATCTCTTGTCCCCATGATGCCCGGGCTCCTGTGGTGTGGTGGAGCTAAGACATACCCCATTGGGAAAGGTACATTAGACAGTAGGCCGTGGATCGTAAACCATGGCGATTTTTTTTGACCGTGGCCCCTCTGACGATTAGCATTAATAAACCACCAGTTTCAAGAGGTAGCCACATTATTATGGATTCTCGAGGGGTTAAAAATAACTCCCGAGGGGAAAAGAGAGGCGAAACAAGCGATTAAGCGAACAAGCGAACAGGCTAACAAGGTTAGGACTTTAGGGTAGTACCTAGTTCCTGGGTGTAAGTAATCGGTCGTACGTTCTTTTAAATCCAGCCGAGGAATGTCCGTCGGCAGCAAGAACGTAGCCAGACCGCAGTAGGCCGCGGCCATCGGCGTTGATGTCCCAATGGGGAAGGAAATGCCAAGACCTAATGCTTTGCCATTACCACGTAGGGATAGTGGATGGCAGCTGGCAGAGGTGAAGATGTGCAGGTCTGCAGTTACAGGTGAAATACTGCAGATGCGGTTAGGGATGTTAGGGATGTTAGGGATGAGGGACGGGGGATGGGGGGGGGGGGGGGGGGATGTTATTAGTGTTATTTTACCTCTACCTAAGGTTGGCACCAGGTATGTACCTACTATGTAAGGTAGGGATGCGGAAGAAGCGCGCTACGGAGTTTCGAACAGCTGGGAAGCGCCTTCCAACCGTTCCTCCCTCGCGGATATACGGATGACTAGTTTCCGACAACGAAACTCCAGATCCTGTCCCCAGAACCCAGAACCAGAACCAAGCCTCATCCCACTACATACACAAGCGAATCTTAGTCCCCAACTTATCTTCCTCCCAAGTCTTTTAAGTCCACAAGACAGG